TTTGAAATTTATTTTTATTTTAAGAGAGAATAGAACTTGAAATTTTTGTATGAATTTTTCTTCTTGATTATCAGCCTGAGTCGAGCTCTCATGTTGCCTTTTTTTGCTTAATTATATTGAAAATAATATTTAGTGTTATATATTTAGTGGTGATATTGGAATCGGAATTTGCATTCTTTTAATTTGTTTTGAGGAATTGGGGAGGAATGCAATCAATAATTTGTGGGAAAAGGGAAAATAAATTACATCAAAGGATTAGAATAAGATGGCTAATAAAGATCCCTTCTAAACCTCCAATCAAGTATATGTAATCTTAATTATATTCTAATCATATATTTAAATTTATAAAAATTTAAATATAAGTTTAAACCCTTTTTTTTCGTTTTAATTGGATTGATCAAACTTTAGTTTTCTAATAAGTTTAAAATTTTTTCACTAAAAAATAAATTGTCCTATTTTTTGGATTTATATCATTGTGCATCAAATTTTTTAAAAAATATAAATATAAATAATTTTATAAAAATTTTCTCTTGAGTCACCTATTCTAACCTTCTCAAGTTCACCACTACTCTTAGAGTCATGTTATCACATTTTTGTTAAATATTAAATTTTTTATGATTGTAAATTCAAGTGGAATCTCTTTCACTTATTTTTAATTGGTTTTCACTTAGATACTTAACATATATTAAAATTTAGATTCTATTCTATTATTTTTTTCAAGTTTACCGCGAGGATCCAACAATAATCCTTGTTAATTGTGTAGCTTGTTTAAATTGGACTGAAAAGCATTAGAAAAGAATGCTACCAGAACTGTTTAATTAACAAATAATATCTCTTTTTTTTTTTTTTTAAGAAAATGAGATAGATTGTAAAATTGTAGGTTTGATCTTGCAATTTAAGAAAAACTTGCCACTTTGTCGGTACTCCCGCCGCTTTGCATGTACTATTAACATTTATAGAATCTCTAAATAGAATCTGACAAGTTGTTTCAGGCAATTGATGAGTATTGTTATGGTGTGGTCTGTCACCTTCTGAACTGAAAGCATTGATTATAGGAATATGTTTTGAAGAGATAGATTGGATAAGGATGATGCTGTTGAGAAAAGTAATGGCAGATTTTGATAGCTCCCTTGACTCTCTTGTTCAATAGGAAAATTTTGTAAAAGGTGTCACAAAGTGGATTCAAGAGGTAAAGCAAACTGGGGGTTCTTATATCTTGAACCTGATTCTGGTACGTTTGAGTTTGTAGACCGGTTTCGTCAGGTAAGTTGAGCATTGATGACCTCTTTAGAGATTATAACTTGCAAAAACTGACTTCTTCGAATTGTTTTGCAGCAAACCAAGAAAGTACATGATTTGTTGGGGGCTGAGGAACAAAGTGATGAGGTTGTTGAGGGTGTTGAAAACCCTGGGTGGATCTCCTTCAAAGGATTACTTAGGTTACTGCTGGGTACCATTATTTCAGCTGTGCATTTGCAGACCCGAAGATCTCATAATTTTCTTCCACAAAAGACATTTCATTGAGTTAAAATATCTACTTATATATCACCATTTTCAAACATTCCAATGTGAGATTGGGGTATCATGTAAAGTATTTGTAAGGGCTCTCAATCTCGTTGGCTCTACCCTTAAATTTCTCACTTTCTCATTTTTCTATTTCTTTTTTATTTATTCTTTAATTGTGTGTGAACATACTATTAAATGTTTTCTATTCAGAGCATGTTACAGCCTGTACTTTGATCTTGTTTCTATAATTCTTCATACTAATTTGCTGTCAGACCCCATCAAAACAGGTACACTCATCTAATGAAAGATCAAATGGTGGTGAAAGGGGGCATGATTCTACTGAAGAGGCAAGGAGTCCAGTACTGGTCTTCCTGGACTGGCAATTGAAGAGAGAGCTGCTGCTCGAATTTAAAAGGCTTTTTGGGCATAAAGGGTATAATAATTTATCGCGACATGTCAACATAAAAAATGCATTTAACCTGTATGATAATTTATGAGGCAGTTCTATCTAGGTAAATCCTTTTTGCAACAACTATTTCCCAACAACCTTAGCATATATTTGAAGCTGATTCTTGAATAAGTTGATCATGTTTGGACCAAAACTTCACATTTATCTCTAATGGACATTGCGTGGTGGGTTACATCCTAAGAAGAGCAGAATTGCTAACTTTGTCCCTTCTCTATATAATAAAATGAGACTCATCTAGCATTGTTTCTTTGTCATTTCTAGGAAACAAGCAACAACATTATGTTTAGCCACATAATGAGAAACAATAACTTGTTTAAGTCTAGTTATTCTATTATTCCAAGTTAACGTTTTACCATATGGGAGTAAAAGAGAAGATCAATAGCTTTTTTTTTTTTTTTTTGGTACAAGGGAGGTTGCAATGAGTAGAGAAAAGAATTACAGATGTTGGGATTTGAATCCTAAATTTACTAGATATCTTCTCTTAAGGATGATTGCATCAATAGTTTTTCAATTTTACTTCTGTCATCCATATGATAAACTGACAGACGATGTATTTTTCCCTAGAACAAGGTAATTAAAGGATGATCCAGTAGGTTTTTCAAGCTTTCTTTTTTTTTTTTAAATAAACAAGTAACCTCTTAATAAATTGAGTCATTAACTTGCACATTGCATCAATCTTTCTACATTAATGGAGAGTTAGGCCCAGTGGATCAGCCCGACCAATAGAGGTTTGTAGGATAATAACAGCACGTTAGCATCTTTACACTGAGAATTTATCGCATTCTGATTGTTGCATATCAAACCGTTCATATAGATTAGATTTGTTTACATGTAGAACGTAGTGGCTCTGAATCCATTTCCAGAATTCAGCAGGGAGAAGAAGCAGCAGTTAAACGAGAACGAGCCATGGCTTATGCCTTCTCTCATCAGGCTAGTAACGGGGAAATTCAAGCTTGATACTTGGATACTTTGATGTTATGTTGGTAATTAAAATCAATTGTGCTGATATGCTATGGAGGGCAAATGCAAGCCAGCATCACATGGTCCGGGCAAAGAAAACTGGGATTGAAGCTGGATGGAGCGATGGATAGCAGCGAGGCCTTGGGAGGTCAGGGTTCATTCTCAGCCCATTCACCAAAGAAAAACTCATGCCAGGCAGGCAAGCAAATCAGAGAAAGAGATGAAAGTTCCAGCCTAAGTGAAACCTGCTTTGCCAAATGGGAAAGTAGCTCCAAACGTGAAAGAAGTTGCCCCAACCGATGGCTAAAATTAAAGGAGCTATAATCATACAAACCTCATCTTGGTAAAGATGATGGGTGATAGTTAAGCAAATTCATTGTAGTGATTCAAAATGATTTCGTTTTGTACCTGTGTGGATTTGCATTGCATTTGTACATAACAGCAGACAGGTTCTGTTGTATCGAGAAACTTAGAGGATAAAACACAAAAAAAAAAAGTTTCCCTTTTTTGTATAGGAAATTTGTCAATGTACCTAACTGTTGCAATTAGCAAGGAACCAAAGCCTAAAAATCCTAGTACAGTTATGTACTTTGCCCATAGAAACTATCCAATCTTTAACCTCTATTTCCGGTGTATGTTACATGGTTGACTTCACTCAGGGATAAGGTGTTGAACACACGTACATCAAGTTTTTGATAATTTTTTACATTAATTTTGAAGATCCAAATACCATACTCTATAGATTTAATACAGATTTGAAGCGTCTGGCATTTTGAACGGTGAATGTCAGATATGATTGATGAAGGTAAAGTAAAAAATCCATGTAACATAAGTTACTACTTTAATTAACGAACTGTCCTACATCTTCTCAATCCTAAGGGGAAGCACAAAATCCAGAAATTTTGTTTTTGTCCACGGCAATTCCTCAATGAAACTTCAACTAGAATGGTCCAAAGTCCAAACTAAAAGATAAAGCCTTAGAGTAGCAACCGAATAAAAGCAGGCAAATTTTTTGTCTTATTATTTCCACTATTACATAATGCTCCAACTCAATTTTCCATTATGCATTAATTATCAAACAAATAATTCATTGTTACATTGCATAATAAAATTATGCATCATAGGGAAAAGCCCAGCTACATGCCAACAAGAAGCTCTACAATCCATCCACCCATCCACCTCAAAATTTATATTGGTACAGCCTGAAAAATCCCAACTTCAACTATCCACTAAACAAGTTTCTATATTATACTATAAAATCAGGTGAGAAAAAGGCAGAGTACTTTCATTTCTTATGTTTTTCTTGGTGTTAATAATCATTCATCTAAAATATTCTGCAGTGTTTAATGCTTTATATAACCTGTAGAGTTGCAATCCTCAACCAACTATAAAAAATGCCAACAACCATAAAGCAAATGCAAATAGAAGCTAAACTCTTTTCTAATATGGGTTCATATTTTTTTCTTATTCTACTAAAGAAAAAAAAAAAAGAATTTCAAGCTAGGTTCAAGAGATTTTTTTGTTAGGCACTGAGATTTTTTACAAGGCAGTGGGGGGACCATTTACAGGTGGGCAAGTACCAAAATTTTGGTGGCATCTATCCTTACTGTGTATTCTACTTTTCTTCCATAATTGAGCTTTTTGTATTCCTCCCATTCCCATTTCATGGTTTCTCCGGCAGATGTACTCCACTTAGCCGCCCTTGGTCTATCTGCTAAATTTATCCAACATGCTCATTGATAGCAAAAGTATGAGCTTAGGTTCCTCTACAACCTGGCCTCAATGCTAAAGTATGCTTCAGGACATGTAATTTAGACCAACCCGATCTTTCATATTAAAACAAATAGTAGCTGAAGCAACAAAGTCCGATTAGGCTATGTAAATTCTGCTAGTTTTGGCAATTGAGGTGTCTAGGATGGTGATTAGTTATTAGTTAATGGTTCTTCATTCATTTTAACTAATACAGGAAATTGAGTCTTCAATTTCTATCCTTGTTTAGCATTCTTCCTTGTTATCAATATCTTTGCATTCAAACTAGGTCAATAGCAAACTGAGGCATCTAAAACAAAGCAGTATGGAGTAAAATGACACTAAATGAACAGTATTATAACTTAAGTGGGGGAAATAATCCATTCTTTTCAGGCCACAGGGAGACCGGGTAGAGGATTAAGCTACCCTCTATGCTATTCAACATATCCTACTGTTGACAGAAAATGTCTTCTCTTTCAATACCCCCAAAAATGCAAGCATTTATAGAGATGTAAAAAGATTTGTTATATTTTCAATTCTTTTTGCAGGTTTTAAGGAAGTTGTTCTGGCACAATTTGTTCCATAAGAAAGCAATTAAGCAACAAACAAAATCACAAACTTTAATCTCTTTCATCTACAGGAGAAATTGACAACTTCTAAACAGAGGAAATGACTCAGGATTGCTTCTCTAATTCTATATCAGATCAAAGGGATATAGGATTGAGAAAGACTTTTCCACATTGGCTGATATAGGGCTACCTTATTTCATAAGAATTTTCAAAAGAATGACAGCTTCTGCTAACTGAATCTGTCCTAACCGAGGAAAAAATAAAACCTGAATTAGAACAAACTAGGTTTGCATAGAAACCAACAAAAACATTGCAAACAAAAAGTCTAGTAACGTGAAACACATGACAAGTAAAGAGAAACCATAGTTGAGCTCTAAGAGCCCACTCAAATATAAAATTCAAGCTACAACACAATTAACTAATAGAAACTAAATGCAACCGGGGATGGAATAACCTGAAATCCACCTAGATTTCTTCTTCCCACGGCATAGGCCATTGATTCAAAGTTACCAAAATCTTCCCTTAGACTGGTCTTGAATCCATCATAACATCTCATGACTTCACAGTCAACAATCCACTAGTCCTGAAAGACCACTTTAAATAAGTAAAAGAGCTTGTCAGTGCTACATAATGTAGAAAATGTACTGTTCATAAAAAACTGATGGAAATAAGATGAGTTAACAAAAGTAAAACCTGATAGATGGAAAACACTTTGGCTTTACTCGATCAATGGTGAGAATCAGAGGAAGCAGAGAACAGCTTATTGGTGATGCTGTCGTGCTCCTCTTCTTCGCCCTGAATTCGTGCTGGAATGCGAAATCCAGAGAATACACTGCATGTGGTACATCCAATGCCACATGACGCTGCTTGATGATGGATATTTTGTGGGATTTGATGGTGTTGGTGTTCGTCGATTGTGGAAATTGGCTGGTCTATCCTAGCACGAATCAAGGGCGTCTTACTGGACTGAAGGGGTCCCCTCTGTGAAAACAACTGGCTGTTTCGGCCAAAAGTGGGTGGCAGTGGCTGTGGTGATGGAGTGCCAAAGATAAATCGTCCTACCCCACCGCTACCGCCACTGCCACTACCAGTATCAGCGGCACCACCACTACTGTTCCAGGCAGCCAATCTCTGAAACCTTCCAATCTCCGCCTGGTGTCGATGATGGTGCTCCCATCCGGCAGAAGACTCATCAAAACCACCTAATGGATTGGTTCCGGTGAACAAAACAGGTTCGCTATGGTGTGCCTGAGCTGTAGGAACTTGGTGGTAGTGCTGGTGCAAAAGAATTGGCTCCGGAAATGACTGAAGCGAAAGCCGCAGATCTTGACTGTGGCTGCTGGTCCTGGACAACAAATCTGGTGGATAATTCTGAAACTGTATAGAAGAAGACGGCGTCCCACCAGAAGCTCCCAATGGAAAAAAAGACTTGATTGTATCCGCAATCTCATCAGAAACTAAAGAAGGTGGAAGAAAAGCCGAAGTATTATTCGGGTTATCTCCCATTTCTTGTTGCTGAAGACTCTGAACTTCGTTTCCCATTATTGTAGCCGTTCTTCTGCGAGTAAAAATCCCAGCAGCAAGGTTTTCCACCAGGTTTCCACTATGGTGGATTTGAAACTGATAGGCTTTATCATTATCTGTTGTTGTGTTTTGGTCTTCTTGGTTATTTGGTTTTGAAGTCGAAGTCGTTGTAGCCAAAGTTTCTGGGTTCCAAGGAGGTAGTTCAGCAAGCTCGTCAATGGCAGGTTTGGCTTTTGTGATAAGCCAATCCACAGCTTTACTAGGACGGTCGTAGCCAAGGCGGTCCTGCACGTCGTAGAATTGAATGGCGGTGTGAGCTGAGAGACGGACACGTCGGTCTCGTGGACCTTTGGCAGTACAAACTTTGCTGTGACGGTCTTTTCTTCCAATTGACCGAACAATGTGACCTCCTTGGACCTCAACGATGTCGCCTCCAGTATGCCTTATCCCCAATCTTGACGATGTTGCAGCTTGGTGATGGCTATCTCCCATTTTTCTTGCATGTTGGGTTGATTTTGAACCAACAGTTGAAGAAGAGGATGGGAAATAAGAGCGTTTCTTGGGTTGTTGTGGGTACTCCTGCTGCTGCTGAAGGACTTGTGCGTCTAGACTTGCATACAAATGTTGGCCTTGCTGTTGTTGAGATTGGGTTTCTTGCAGATATTGGTGATGGCAGGAAAGGAAGTTTTCCTCTTGGTTTCTTGGTTGTTCTTCTTCTTCTCCCTCTACTGCTATATGACTTGAATTCAGAATTGGGTTTTGATTTTGATGCTGAATATGTTGTTGCTGCTGTTGTTGATGATGATGATTCCTTGGAGGATCCAGACTCAGGTCCTTGTGCTTTTCCTGTTCCAGCTTTTAATGGAACACACCTTTTTTTGTTAGTGGGTTGTTGATTCTTTACCCTCTCTTTGCTTCCTAATTTCCTCTTGCTGTCTGTGCTTCTGCCAACACACTGAAACCTGATACTGTTGCCTCTCCCAAAAGGCCTTGCCATTCAATGTTTCCAATTCCATCACCAGAATCACACCACACCAAAAGGACCCCCAACTCTTTCCTAACAAGACTGAACCAAGCCTGAAAAACCCCCTCCGGAAGGCTTAAAACTAGCTCCTATTCCCACGCTAACCCATCTCTTTCCTTTATCCTTCTATCTCTTTCTATCTCTATCTCTAAACTCAGCTTTTGGCAAGTGGGCCTTTTTTTGTGTACTATACTATTCAGTAACCAAACTATTGAAATGGGTTAAACACTCAACCACCAACTTCACCAGGACAACCCAACAGCAACCAGAAATAAAATTTTCTCAACAAGGACTTTCTTGGGAAAAAAATACTAACTTGAAAGCTTTCATTCTTTTTCCTAGAGGGAAAGAGAAAGAAAGATTTGGTTGGAACAGTAAATATAGGGCTTAGCTAGTATAGGGAAGAGGAACACTTTCTTGCCTATAGGAACCGTTGATGATGCCACTGATAAGGGTGGCAGTGTTTGGTCAGAGAAGAGATTAAAGATCTCTGTGATCTCATCACTGCATCTGCTGCTGTTCTTGTATTACCCGCCACTAGACAAAAACAACACCAATCCAAAAAATAAACGCTCTTCGCTCTTTCAATCAGCAATAAACTTAACTGGACTCCCTCTTTTCCACTTTTTCACCTTCTCAATATAAACCCTTATCTTATTTATTTATTTTTTTTACTAACTACGGGTTTGATTTGATGAGTTTAAATTTTTCAATCTGTCTGAGAAAATGTTAACCTTTATAGATTTTTTTTTTTTTTACTTCATAGATAGAAGTTAAGAACCGATGGTTATAGCTCAATGGATTGTCTGGAAGCCTTGTTTTGATTAGATCAGAATGAGATCCTTTATATGCCACCATCACAACTTTAGACAGTGACCCATGCACAGCTATTTTCTGCTTTCTTTTTCTTCTCTCTTTCTTCTCTCTTAATTGCTTCACTTGAAAGAAACATCATCGTCTTTCCCACAAATTTCCCTTCTCCCAAACACCCTTTTTTGGGATTGTTGGATTACTCATCGCATCTCAAGAGCCTCCTTTTTTTGCATTTTTTCTTGTTTCACTGAGCAACATGTCATGAACCATAGCAACAATTGCCTTTCATTGTTTTGGAATGGAATAGTTGCCCTCCTATATGCTAAGCTAAATTACTTAGCTACCCTTTTATCATTTTTCAACTTTCATGAATTATTTTTTTTCAATATACATTTAATTCTTTTTTATATCCAAGGCGCAGCAAGTTTGGCTTGTTTAGATTCAAACACTTAGGAGAAGCTTTATCACTAATAAAAGCTCTTGATGTGTCTAGTTGGAATGGGCGGAGATTAAATGTGAATCTTGCGAAGTATGAATGAGAGAACAGAAACAACAACAAAGTGTCAGTTACCAGATTCGATAAAAGTACAGAACAAAACAAGTTTCAGAATCCACGAAAATAAGAATTGGAGATCTCCGAATGGTAAGAGTCACATCATCCGACTTTTATGATGAATCAAAAGCCATCTTATGCTGATGTTGTCAGAAACAACCAGTCTGAAAAGAATGAGAAAGTTGCTAATGACAGAGTAGTATCTCTGAAAGGAAAAGAAACAATGGTGGATGTGTCTGAAGCAGAATCTGATATGGCGCCCAAAGTTAATGCTCAACTCGCCTATTAAAGCATTAATAGGAGTTTTTTGTGCAATAGCAGAAGTTCCATTCACTTTCAAAATGGTTTGGGTCTAGAAAAATCCCAGAAAGAGCATCAGAAAGCTGCAATGGTCAGCTTGAAATGAAAAGGCTTTCAATCAGAAAATTGTTTGTTTTTGACCAGGTATCTAATCTGATCAGAGCATGCTGCTTGATTGGTGGCTCAAAGCAAAATTTCTTAATTTGGAATTCTCAATTCTGCATTCCAAGACAAATATCCAACATCTGTCAATTTCCTCTCCCCAAAGTTCTGTTAGAATATCTCTTGGTCTCCTCCTTCTCGTGAGGTATGGAAAATAAACGAGGATTGGCTCTGCTATCGGTAAAGCTGGAAAGACTGGTATCCGAGGTGTCATTCGGAATTTTAACTATAAAAACTAACTTAAACCGATTTCTTTTAAAAAAAATACCAAAACCGATCAATTTATTTCTAAGTAACCAAACCAATGTAAGATAGATTCTATTAAAAAATTGAATTTTTTCACCATTCTTTTATCATTAATTTTGAGCAATAATTTTACATTAAATTCTACCTAATATATTTGTTATTCTTAAAATTTTAAAATGTTTCATATATATATATATATATTATATTTATAAATATATTAAAAATCAATTAATTTAATCGATTCAATTATTAATTTTAAAAATAAAAAATTAATCAAATTAATAAACTAAACCTCTTTTTTGTCCAACCATTATCAAAATCAAACTAACCAAATCAAGATGACTAAATTTAATCATTATCAAATCATCAAATTAGTTGGAATTAGACTTATATTCACTCCTGGGAAATACTATGAAAATGTCACTTATATAATCTTTAAAACTCAAAGAGAATCATCTATGTTGACAATTGTATGATATATTGATAGAATTTGAATTTTAAGTAATTAGCTTTTAATTTTTGCAACCTCAAATTAAAAAAAAAAAATAACTATATATATTTATTAATTTTAACTAAAATGCAGAAGGGGATAAATTATAATAAATAATACAAATATTTTGTGATCAGATACTTTTTTATTTATTAAGACTACAAATATTATTTTTCCTCTACAATATACTCATTGCTTAAGTATTTTATTTTATAAAAGTATATATGAAATGGTAAAAAAAAGAAAGAAAGAATACATTGGTAAAAGTTATTTTTATGGGTAAAATGAGAAAAAGTATATGTAAATAACTAGTTTAAAAGATTTAAATATTAAAAATAAATATCAATCATTTTGCTTGCAAAAAGTTTAAAACAATTTACACTTCTAATTAATGGTATCTATCCATTAAAAATCTCCAACAAAAAAAAAATCAAAAACTAAGACTTAATTTTTCCAGAATTGATTTTGCTTCCTTATCTTGATTATCGTCACCCAAACAAGTACATCCATTCATTTGTTTATGTATGGTGTTCTTATCATCACATAATGATATTAAAGTCAATGCTTTCACCTTTTCGGCACCTCATTTTCGTAAGCACACTTTCAATTTCAATTTGCCTTATTCAAAGTTTATTTCTTTTTCCTCCCATTATTCTTGTAGTAGGAAACAATTTCTAATTAAAACATGCATCCACAAATTTACCTACTTTTTTATAACCAAAATCTTTATTTAATTCAGTTCATTTATACAATTATTTTTAAAATGAGTCATCTAATAAATTTGAATTTCAAATTTCAACACCACAAATTTCTTCTTTTATTCTCAAGTTATTAGCTCTTTTATACCAAAAAAATTATATTCATACATAGGTATTTCATGATGTTAATATTCTTGTTCAAAACAAATATGATGTTAAAGTTTTTAAAAAAAAAATCGCACAACATTTTCTTAATTTCCACAAAAATTTAATTTCATTGTCTATAAAGTATGATAGAATTATTTTCTTTTATGATATATATGTTTCCTATAGAGACTTAAGACAAAGACTGACGATAAAATATAGACAGTGATTACATTGATGATTTTTGTTCATAACAACAATATTAACTGTTACAACTTTGGATTATGTTGGAACTTAATGGGGTTAGGGTTGTATTATTATAATCTTAGGATAATCAAAATATTTTATGATAGATTTCTCGAAGTATATATTATATTAATTTTTTTTATCCTTTCTTAATCAACTTTAGACAGTGGCATTTCTGTCGTGTGTATAGGAAACCAAAATTAAATTTTAAAAAAAAATCTTAATTGAATGGTGATGCAGTCAAATCCCCATTAAGCATAAAGTCTTTGGAGATATTAATTGATCTAGAAGGTTGTAAAGAGAATAGATTAGTAGTACAATTTGATTGGGAGATGTGCTCCATATTCTTTTATCTAGAAGATTGGGGGAAAATGCCTGATCTCTATTAATTTTTGAGAATGTAATGCTTTTAAAATATTGAGGCAAAATGTCCTTGGATTGGATAAAATCAAAGCTTAATTCAAACTAATTTTAATTTAGTGCATAGATAAAAGTTGAATTTAGTAATATGAAAAAAACAATAAAGCCGCTTAAGTTAAAATGATAAAAGTTCTATTATTACTCTACAGAATATTGAAATTATACCTAGGGTAAGTAGTCCAACCCAAATCCAATAAGTTTCGATTCAACTCAATTTTTTAGGATCGATTTTTTTTTTAAATTGGGTATCGAAGTCAGGTTTTAGGCAAACCTGACCCAACCTTATATATATAATTATTTTTTAATTATTTATTTAACTTTATATTTATATTAAAAAATAATATTTTATTAATTTTAAATCAAATTAGGTATGATTTTATACAATGTCAAGTTGAGTCGGGTTCGGATATGAAAC